TTACATTAATATATGTGCCAAGATCACATATGGCTCCTTTTATCCCAATCTTACAAATTTTATAGGGTATTGCGAACATACATTGGTCCTTTAGTTTCGGTGGTAACTTTTGTTGGAAAACGACTGAGACGTACTCTCACAAATTCATTTTCTCGACCCAAGTAAGCTTCTTTTTTATCGTACAATGATTCTTCAAAAACCGGGCATACCTTGGAACCTTCCGGATAACCTCAAGGAGGGGTATGTTAACTTCCACCTTCCGAAGTACGTCTAATATTTCCTTTTCCTCAGCTTGTTTATCCCTTTTAACTAACCTTGATGGAAAAGGTGGTGGCACGTCATAGGGAAATGGCGTTGGATCGTCCATTTGTTCTTCGTCATTCTTTTTCTAGGATCCTGAATCATCGGTCTTCTTCTTTTTTTGGATTTCTTCGTCTGATGGGACAGGTGGTGCCACTACTATACCACTCCAAAAAGTAATGGCGTTGACATTCTCCCTCGAGTTTATCTCAGTTTGAGATGGAAGTTTACCTTGTGACTCTAAGTGGCCTACGGTTTGAGCCAGTTGGCTTATGTGTTTGTCTATCTCTTGTAAGTGAGTTTCAATACGAATCAGAAAATTTTCATGGGAAAGTGCTAACCTCTCGATAATTGATTATAATGATGTCTTCTGCGGCTGTTGTGGTGGTGGAGGTGTCTCGCTTGATAACCTTGATTCAGTCTTGAGTTCTGAGTATAATTGAAATTTGGATTATCCCTCCATCCTGGGTTGTATGTATTGTCGTAGGGATTGTAAGCTCTTTGGGGAGGTCCTGGAAAGTTTTCAACTACATTGACTTAGGCTGATGTGTCATCTTGAATCAGTGGACAACCGTCTGTTGGATGATCAGGTAATGAACATATTACACATAATCTATTTGGTCATGTCTTTCCTGCAACAAGACAGTTGAAGACTTCATTTAATTTATCTATCTTATTTTCTAAGGAAGATGAACTTATCTCATGAACCCTTCCAGGAGGTTCATTAATTGTGTGGAACTGTTGAGAATTTGTGGCCATTATGGAAATTAAATCCCTAGCCTCAGTAGGAGTCATGTTCACAAAGGCTCCACCGCTGGCGGCATCGATCATCTTCATCTCCAGGGGAGTTAATCCTTCATAAAAGTATTGAATGAGTGTTTGTTCCGTTAACCCATGTTATGGGCAATTAGTGCATAAATTTTTAAAACGCTCTCAGTAATCGTAAAGCGACTCTTCTTCAAGCTACTTGATTCCAAGTATTCTCCTTCGTAGTTCACTTACTTTCGCCACAGGGAAAAACCTGTCAAGAAAAAGATGAGTCATTTGAGCCCATGTAGTAATAAAATTAGGGGGTAGATAAAATAACAACTCCTTATCCGAATCGGCTAAGGAAAAAGAAAAAGCTCTAAGTTTGATTTGATCCTCATTTACTCCCTGTGGTCTCATGCTGGAATAGACCATGTGAAATTCTGTGATATGTTTGTATGGATTATCGTTTGGCAATCCGCAGAATGTAGGGAGGAGATGAATAAGGCCAGTTTTCAACTGGTATGGATTTTTGCCTTGGAGAAAATCAATGCACAAAGGCTCTTGCTCAGTGGGTGACGTGGCTAACTCTTTGATAGTAGGATCGGCCATCGAAATTGGTTCTGAATTAACGGATTCACCTAAATTTGATTCGGACTCTGGATTTGATTGTTGTCTTCTTCTTTCCCGAAGCGTCTGTGCGTGAAGTCTCATAGCTCTAGCTTTGATCTCCGGGTCGTACTCCACTAATGCGCCCGGATTAGTCCTGGTCATAAATCAAAAAGAAAACAAAAATTAGTAACTTTGGTGAAGTCCTCGGCAACGGCACCAATTTGACAATTGTCGTTTTGATGTCAAAATAAATTCCTTCTTCTCTGTTAATAAATAAGGAAATTCATAGTAAAGAAAATTAAGGGTCGATTCCACAGGGACTTAGAAAATTATAAATTTTTGTCTGAATTCTTTATACCAGGCGTGAATAGTAAATAGGGGGTTTCGTAAAATGATAATTAAATAATAATAACAGCGAATTAAAGTAAAATAAAGAAAAGATTTTTAAAGTTGAAAATGGATATGGTAAAATCAGCCTCAAGCCTTGCTTTGACTCAATTTCCTTTAGGTCATCGAACTAGATTTTCCCTTCGGGATTCACGTCGGTTACTTTGTCTACAAGGGCAATCCCCATGACTCTATTTTGTATACCGAATACCTAAGGCAATCTTTGATTCCGGCTTCGGAAATTGATCTAATCAACATCAATTGTTGTAGATCAATTACCGTTTAAGTTCATGGCGACCGACTCGGAATGTTGCTTCTATAACCGTCAATTCCGTTCTCAATTCCCTCTTGGCGAAGCTATCTCGCCAAGTGTGTTCCCAGGAAGTCGAATGTGATTTCTATAAGCCGAATCTTCCTCCCACACGTTTAATCGCAACATTAATCTAGACCAAAGTCTATCTTTGATTTTGAAAACTGTTTTGATTTTGAAAAATAAGCGCAGAGATTGAGAGAGATATACCAAAGATATTAAGGGTATGTTTCAATTCTCCCGCTAGAATTGAGTCATCGCTTTAGCTCATGGCTTATAAAAAATTTATGTAAGCATGACAAAAGTCATACTTAGCATATTTAAAAACAAAGCTTGAAAATAAAAGAAAAATGAAAACTTGAAAAATAAAATAAAAGAGAATACTTTAATAAAACTAGAAAGAATGAGAAGATTGTAATCTAAGATGTGTGTTTAGGCTTACCCTAATAAGGTATCTATAGGCTCTCAAAGCCTAAGGATAAGCAAATAAATTAAAATAAAATAATCCTAAAGATAATTTTTTTCCTAAATTCAAACTTTAAACAAGTCTCCTAATGCAACTTTGCTCGTCCATCTTTCAAAAGGCGTACTAAGTATATTTTCTAGAAATTGCCGTTGACTTAACCTTCTAGAAATTGCAACGTCAGAACGTGTCGTGCCCATGTCTCCAGCCGTGACCAAATAATAAAAAAATGCAGAATACACCCGTTTTATCCCTAGTTCTGGAAAGTAAGGACCTGCACGAAAATAAGCATAACACAACCAAATCAACAACAATAAATCCACAAGATTAAAATTAACGAGCAAAAATTAACGATTCTAAACACTCATCACAAGGTCTCTTGGTCGATCCAATTCAACAGCACTTGACAGTCTGATTCAACAATTAAAGACGTTTTTTCCAATCCAATCTGCTTCCTTAAATACTAGCAAAGCATTTACAATCACATATAATTCTGCAAACTCCGCGCTTAAAGGTCACAAGAAGGAAATGTGTTCCAAGCTTATTAGTTATTCAATAGATTATAAATTCACTAAGTTTCTCCAGTAATAAGGCTATGGCAGTAAAATCAGTAAGTTGTACAAAATCTTTGGTCTAAAGATCCTCCAATAGTGATGCGTCCTCTGTTCAGACATCTCTTTTTACACCTTTACAATTCTAACATATTCTTAATTTTCTTGGCAAAGAGCCAACAACACAAGTTACTGCTCACATACTAGGTACAGATCTCGATTCTTCTTATCAAAGAGGAACCAACACGAATAGAAACGTATTCAAAGCTTTGGGTTATTGGACACTAATGAAAATGTTTTCAAGTAAAGTGACCATTGTAGTTGCTAATTTGATCAAATTAATCCCAATGCTTTGGGTTAGACGAATTAATGAACACACGTGGATGGTCTCAATGACCTAAAGAAGATACTATTTTCCTAGTAATTAATACGTGAAATTGTATAATAATGATCCATGCAATAATCAATGACGAAATAAAAGGGTGAGTTGCGTGCATGGGGTGGGTTTCAAAGATCATTGGTGACGCACCACCTCTTTGATCTTATGCAGACCACTGAATGCTCCTTTGAAAGATCTTCATTTCCACTTTGACCTAGGATAATAATATATTTCCATCCAATTACACAATAGTGTCTAAATACATTGGGAAGGATGTAAAAAATTGGTATAATTATGCCCTACCATTTTATCATCATCATCTCCTAATTTTAATTATTAGTAATTATAATATTATTCACATATAAAAATTTATCAACACACATGTGTTTAACTATTAGCCATTGTAAAAATGTCGAAATAATTTGCGACTAGTTGAAAATATATTATAGTTGAGTCTAAATTTTAAAACATTTAAATTTCAGTAAAAATATGTAATTGATATAAATTTTAAATCTATGATATATATGCGTTTAACCCTCTCAACATATTATGTTTATTTAATAAAAATAAATATGTCAATATTTTATATTAATTAATAGGGTAAAGTACACAAATTGTCCCATGACTATAGGGTGTTGCTTTGTTGAGTCCCTCAACTATTAAAAGTTACAGAATAGTCACCTGACTATTCATTATGTTCCAAACTCGTCCTTTTCCATTAAAAAATTGACGGAAGTATGAACTGTACGTTAACCTGTTGATTGATATATGATAAAATTTGATCTCATAATCTCAAACGAATATCATATCTCAGTCAGCATGTTAATGTCTAGCTCAGACGACCACTAATTTTTTAATAGAAAATGACGAGTTTAGAACATAATGAATAATCGGAGACCATTTGTGTTCTTTACCCTAAATAATATTATTCCAAAATTTAAACATAGTTTATTTTATGGTTATAATTTCTATTATTAAATATAACATGAAAAATTAAAATATAATTACACCCTACATGAGTTGGCTTACTTCACAATTTGGCAGCAATATGTTTTTGTGGGTCGCCATTTGTGTAACGAAATTATTTTACGAAAACGATATGTCCACTTAGAAAAACAGGGATCAAATTGTAATATGATAATTTCCCCCCAAAACAAATAGGGAAACAACACATCTCCATTATTAGGGAATACAATTGAACTCTATAAATATAGAGTAGGTTTCATTTGATTGTTGGATTGAAGTAGCCAAGCCAGAAAAGAACATACTGAAATTATGGGAAGGTCTCCTTGTTGTGATGAAACTACTGGCCTTAAGAAAGGTCCCTGGACCCCTGAAGAAGATGACAAGCTTGTCAAATACATCCATGAAAACGGCCATGGTAGCTGGAGAGCCCTCCCCAAGCTTGCTGGTATCACCTGATGAACACTCTCTTTCGCTCCATCTTCTTCCCTGCCTGAGGTTATTGTTTCATTGTTTGTAATGATTTTGAAGGTCTGAATCGATGTGGGAAAAGTTGCAGGCTGAGGTGGACAAATTACTTGAGGCCTGATATTAAGAGAGGGAAGTTTTCCCATGAAGAGGAGCAAACGATTCTCAATCTCCATTCCGTCATTGGAAACAAGTAATAATTTTAAGTACCCTTTAGTTTTATGTCATTATTGTTTTGATTTTTGCTTTTGCTGATATGATTTTTGTGTTGCTGTTCTTAAAGATGGTCGGCGATTGCAAGCCACCTACCTGGACGAACAGATAATGAAATAAAGAACTTCTGGAACACTCATCTAAAGAAGAAACTCATCCAAATGGGGCTCGATCCCATGACTCATAGGCCTCGAACTGATATGCTATCGAGTTTGCCTTATGTCATAGCTTTGGCTAACCTAAAAGAGCTCATGAATCAGCACCCATGGGAGGAACATGCTTTCAGGCTTAAAGCAGAAGCTGTTCAATTGGCTAAGGTTCAAAGCTTGCAGTATCTTCTTCAACTAACCTCAGCTTCCATTTCATCTGGATCTAACATTAATATGCACAATACTTTCGTTACTGATGTGGATGCGATCGATGTTTTAAACTCGGGTTCTTCGATCAAGGATTCATCTCTGCTGGATATAGCAGCAGCGGCTTCTCTTAAAGGTCTCCATGATTCAACAATTCCTTTCCTTCGTTTGCCGGAGCTACAACAAGTCCCGTTCGAAGATTCAACATCGACGAAAAACGATATCGAGAACCTCGATAATTCACCACCGACTGTGATTCCAACGGTTGCAGAGACGTTGACACACAATTCGTGGGATGCTAGCTGTTCTTCGAGCTACCGAGAAGCTGATCTTTCCTCTTGGCGTCATGATGATGATCACCTCATCTTTGAAGACCCTTTGTTCCATGAGCTTTCAAGCTAAGTCTTTTGAATATGTTAATTACATATATGAATAGTCCTTTCAAAAACATCAAAGACATTAATTAATGTATCTTTACATAAAGATTGTCTTGCATGTTTTTCTTTACTTGTATACATAAACATCCTTATATGGATATGCATGTTCGGAGACATTATCATTGTTTCTTTTATTTCTTTTAGCTAGTTTCAAGTAACTAGAAAAAATAAAAATGTTTCTTTTTGTTCTTCCTCTCGTCGTTTTTCCCTTTCTTCTGCAAACGCAAACAATGATTGTATCCTATAGGTTCAAGCTGTACGCAAACAATGTTTTGGTAAGTGTTTTCTTAGAATTTTGAAACTTATTGACATGGGAAAACAATGGTGAAAAAGGGCTTTAATTTAATGTTTTGGAACATTTCAAAGAATGGTATGTCAACATTAAACAAATTTCTTGACTTGATGTGAACAAAATGAAAATACAAAGAAGAAAACCTACAAAAGTATGTACTTTTTAGGTTTAGGCACGATAAACTCCTACTTCCTGTTATTCACACGAAACAGAAAGTATTTTTTTTCTCTTCTTGTTTATACTTTATAGTTTTTAATTAAGGAATTACTATATAATTCAGGGTAAGTTAGAGCAGGACATTGACCCAACCTTATAATCCAACCACTCTAGAAGAATTACTGGAATGAAATATTCCATTGATTTTTTCATTCCATATAAATAAAGCTGGAGTATGAAATATATCAATAATTTTTCTTACTCATCATTAAATTTAAGCTTAATTTTAATTATTTCTTTCTTTCCTTATCAACATTAAATCTCCATCTCTTCTTTAACCTATTAACTCCCCCTACCCTCTCTCTCGGTTAATCATAATCACCATAACCACAGTCACTTTCCTTCCTTCTCATACTTACAACTAGGGGTGAGTGTTCGATCGAGTCAAGTTAAATTTTTTTTGAGTTATTCGAGTTGACGAGTCCTATTTTATAACTCAAAGTTGACTTGAATTCTTTTAGAGTCGAGTCGAATTTTCAAGTTTTTTGTTTAAATTTAATTGTAAATATTTATAATATTATGATATCATTTGATTCCAATTTAAATAATTTTTTTATAACCATATACAATACATATATGTTTCTTCATTTTCTTTCATATGTGATATACATATATCATAAAAAATCGAGAGACCTGACTCAAACTAAAAATTTTGAGTTATTCGAATTGTATTTTGCACTCGATTTGATTTTGAAATTTTTTTAAGTCGAAACGGGTTTATGAAATTATAACTTGAAGTCAATTCGAGTCGAGTTGAAAAAATTTATTTTTCGAATCGAGTCGAGTTTTGCTTACTCCTACTTACAACCTAAATCATTTTATCTTTAATATATATGAAATTATGGTTAAATATTGCAGATCATGTCAATTATAATGTTTCATGATTTTTCTTTCTTTTTTCCTATGAAATTACTTATAAAGTGTAAGAATTAATTAACTTTTTGTATTTTACAATCAATGTTGATTACATCTCAGTAGAAAAACAAGATCAGCGAGATTTCTTCTTCAAATTTAATTACTGTTTATCTTAATATGTATTGAAGATAACATGATTTAGGTTGCAAGCATGGGAAGGAAGGAAAGTGACAGTGGTTATGGTGATTGTGGTTTAGAAGGTTGAAGAAGAGATGGAAATATAATGTTGATACGAAACGAAACAAAAAATAAAAACTAAACCTAAATTTAATGATGATTAAGAAGAAAATTACTAACATGTTTTAATTTTATTGGTTGAGTTCATCTCTTATGTGGTGAGGAGGGTTCATAAAATAATTTTTAATTCATAAACGTATATTCATTTAAATGTTTATAATTTATCATTTTATAATTTTTAATAATTTAAATTTTTATCTATATTTAAATATTTTAATAATATTTTTAAAATTATAATAATTTCTTAGTTTTTTACTTTAAGATGAAATAAGTCCTCAAACTTTCAATTAAAATCGTTAAGCTTATGAACTCGACCAAAAAATCAATTAAGTCATTCTACCATGTCATCACTCACACATGAACTATAATAGTAGCATTATGAACAGCCACGTCAATTCAATGGACTGTTATGTCAGTACTATAATGATCAATGTCGATCAAAAGAATAAAATTGATGCAATCAAATTAGTTCGAGAGAAAGTTTGATGCAATTCAAAAGTAGAGACAAAATTGTTTATTAGATTTACTACATCTATAAATATCTAGAGTTCACAAGGATTATGTGAGAGAAAGAGGATTTTTAATACAAAATAATGCACGGGTAATATATTTATCAATATAAAAAAAATTCTATCTTCTGCACGTGTTTTTTTCTATTTAAATTTTTTTTAATATAATTTTGTGTTTTTACTTCATAATTTTATTTATTTGCTCATTATCTTGTTAATTCCATAACACTTATAGTATTTTTATTTTTATTTTCTTGAGAAAGACTTACGAAGCTTTATCCATTTCAAAAAGAAAGTTCCACCTATGATTAAAATTAATGTTGATTTAATTAGTAAACTAATCTAATTGAAGGTCATAAAGAGTGACGTTCGCACCGTGACTTTTCATTTTGGAGAAATTGATCTCACTACAGCAGAAGAAGTGCACTACATATTATATGTTTTTCATTTGAATTTGTTAAATTTGCAGAATTTTATACATTATCTTACCTATTATTTAAAATTGTAAGTTGTCCTTATAACTTACTATTTAAATAAAATCATTAAATTAATTATCAATTACTATATTTAGAGATAATAATCGTGTAATAATAGCTTAATGAAATCTTTAATATTAGTATCATCAAATTATGAAACATTAACTTAATTTTAATTCGACTAATATAATTGTTATAATTAAATATTTTAAAAAATAACATGGTAATTTAGCAGACAGTAAAATCCAATTAAGAAACAGCAACCACTCTTGACTAAGAAATTGATGTCTGAGATTTGACCAAAATCCAACACAGATTTCAGCAGAAACTTTATTTTGACAAGAAGATAAGCAAGTAAACCACTATTTTCCCATAATAAAATCCATGCCTTGATGGGAATAGATTGAGGGGGCAGGTAGAGACGATTGTCGCTCTTGAAAATTTAAAATTATTATATATTTTAATTTTTTTATATTTTTTATTAAAAATATATTTTCGCCCTTATTATAAGTTCGTTCATTCTTAAAATTTTAAAATTTTATTCCTTTAACATAAAATTTTACATCTTTCCATGCCATGATCTATTTTAAGATTAATAGATCTATTGAATTAAATATTTAATTCAACTTGTTTATAAAAAAAGTTTTATTTTGTTCCAAACTTAATATGTAGACTAGCCCTCTAACTAAAATTCATCAAACATATATTTAATTAAAAAAATATGTATTAGTTGATGGAAATAATGAAAATATTGATGGCTGCACACCAATAAATTAATCAGAAAGGGAGGTTCAATAATTGATTGCTTTAACCTCAGTCCAATTCTACTAAATAAAATTTTCCTAGTAATTTTTTTTACTGTAATTTTTCTATAGTAAGAAGCTTTATGCAACTCAAGCTTAAAATCTATATTAGGAGTGTAAAATTTATATATAATGAAAAGATTAATAATAGAATATAAAATCATTTAATATATTATCGAGTATATTTATGATATTATTTTATTCATTTATCAAAACTATAAAAATTTATAGTTTAATTAATGAAATATAAAATCACGTAAAAATAATTTATTAAATTATCATGTTATAATTTTTTTTTGCTTAATGTGTATATAAGGAAGTTAAAACATTTTAAACATCTTAACAGTGCTAATTATTCCTTCACTACTAATGAACTTTTTAAAGTTCACAGTAAAATTACCAAAATTAGCATATGGATATATCTCTCAAATATGTAAAGGATTGAGACAGGGTGACCCCTTATCTCGTTTCTTATTTATTCTGGTAGCGGAAGCTCTTCGTCTATTAATTGATAAAGCAGAGGTTTCGGGTTTGATTGAAGGTATTTATGGCATTATTTCGAACGCGTCGATATCCCATCTCCAATTTGCGAATGATACAATCCTTTTCTTAAGGCCGAGTTTTGAGCAAGTGGCAAATATTAAGCGCATCCTCAGGTGTTTTGAGGTAAGCTCGGGGCTTAGTATTAATTTCAAAAAATCTTGGTTAGTTGGCATAAATGTGGAGGAGGTACAAATTGATGGTTTGGAGAAAGTTTACGGTTGTAAGATTGGCTCCCTTCCTTTCAACTATTTGGGTATTCCGTTGGGGGAAGAACCGAGGTGAATTGCAACTTGGGATCCAGTGGTGGAAAGATTCAAAAGTAATCTCTCGGGTTGAAAAAGTTGTTCATTGTCATTTGCAGGAAGAGTCATTCTGATTAGTGTTGTGCTATCTTCGCTTCCACTTTACTATATGTCAAATTTTCAAGTTCCAAAGGCGCTCCTGCTTAAATTAGATAAGATTTGAAGAAGCTTCCTGTGGGGTAGTTGGGCGAACGAAAGAAAGCTAAGTCGAGTCAGCTGGGGTAAGTTGTGTTTGTCGAAGAAAAAAGGCAGCTGGTGTAGTACATTTGAAAGCAAAAAACAAAGCTTTGTTAGCAAAATGGGCTTGGAGGTTTCCTTTAGAGAAAGAAGCTCAATGGCAAAAGATAATTGGAGCTAAGTATGGGGAGTCACATTTCAGTGGGCGGATGCTTTGGGTAGAACCAATTTCTACTTGGTGTTATGGAAAGGTATTGTCAAAATTTTGTTCGATGAGGAGGGGTGCCATAACCATTTTTTTAAAATAATTTATATTAAAAAAGCAATTATGAGTTTATTTGAGAAAAAAATAGGGATTTTGAATTAATTTGAATAGGATTCATCATCGAATTTTGGGTTAGGTAGGTCGAATACCTAAAAACGTATTTTAAAACAATTTTAAAAAAAATCATTTTTAAGACAAAAATCAGTCTGCGTTATCAAAGATTCATTTTT